TTTTTGGATTTGCTTTGGCCGTTTTAGAGAGTTCTAGGTCGTGAATTGGATTGGAAAGGCTTGCATATATGTTAGTCAATGAGAATCAGTCACTATAATGCACCTTTAACCCTTGCAATGAAGTTTGAGATTTTGCCATGACCACCATTAAACAACTTGCCATTTTTGCTCAAAATTTGAATTTCATGCTTGAAATGGACTGTACATGAAATTGGCATGTGAATTATGATGTATCAAGGCCATTCAAAACACAAGATTTCCCTTAATTAATTTTTTTGATTTTTATTTGAATTTTAAAGATTAAATCAAATAAAATTAAATAAAAATAGAAAAATTAATTTTTAATCTTGAAATAAATCATGGGACACGTGGGTGGCATGGAAAAGCTGAATCAAGTGGAAAAAGTGGGCCCTTTTGTCAAAAATTGAAGTTTCAAGAATAGTTGACTTTTGCCATTTCACAAAAATTTCCCAACTTCTCCAATGCATATCTTGCTCAATTTTGATCATATGAACATGTTCTTGGACATTTTGGAAAGGTCTTGAAGTCCTCTAACCAATGCCTTTGGTCCCATGTCATTTTGATTTACCAATCTCAAGTTATGGTCTTTGACTCAAAGTACCTTTTTGTTGACTTTTGAAAATGACCTATAATGTTGAAATTGATAACTTTTTGTGAGAGAATTTCTTGGATTTGGAATGTGAAGATGAGTTGTAGGAAATGTTATCCCATTAAAAATGAGCATTGGATGGGATTTTTCTGATGAACCATGAAAAAGTTATGCCTTGGTCAAGTTATAGTTGACTTTTCAGCTGTCCAAAAATAGAAACTTTTGCATCTTGATGATTTTTGAGCCATTCTTGTGAAATCATGATCAAGAATTGATCAAATGATGATTGTGGCTTCAAAATAATATGTTGACCAAATTTTTTGACTTTTGACTGCCAAATAACCATTTTGCCCCTACAGTTGACTGTGGAGCAATTAGGTTTTTTGACTGTGCAACTTGACCTTGTGAGCCTTGAAACTTGACATGTAGGTGCTTGACAATGTATATGAGCATATGTGACTTGACTGAGCCCTTGAAAACTTCAACTTCCTTGCAAGAACCAAAACCCTAATTTGACTGGCTTAGGAGGGTGTTTGAACTGTGCAACCCTTGAGAGACTTGAGCAAATTGAGATGATGCTTGTCAAAACTCTGAAGAATATGGGAGGGCAAATTTTGGGGTACAACACAATTTTAATATAAAGATAATTTATTTAAACATATAATAATATTTAGATAGTAAATAAAATATAAGAATACCAAAATAGAAAACAAATATTGATAATAATAATAGCAAATATAATAATTATGATATAATAATAATAAAAAAATCACTATTTGATAATAATAATAATTATTGTAAATAATATATATATATATATATATATATATATATATATATATATATATATATATATATATATATATATATATATATATATATATATATATATATATATATATATATATATATATATATATATATATATATATATATATATATATATATATATATATATATATATATATATATATATATATATATATATATATATATATATATATATATATATATATATATATATATATATATATATATATATATATATATATATATATATATATATATATATATATATATATATATATATATATATAAAATAGAAATAATAATTGAATTATAAAAGAAAATAAATAAATTAACTCAGGGGGGCGTAGTTTCTAATGGACAAGTAAAACAGGGGGCATGGTTAATAATTTGAATCAGGCCCAGATATGAGTCCAGGCAGGGGGTGTGAATTGGTGTGTTGTTTTAATAATATAGCAAAAAGGGGTGTTAGAATTAATAGGCTTGACCCATCACGCAAACTTGGGAGGGTCTGATAGATTGAGTGTTTCAAGGGAGTATGGGTCTATGGTGCAGATTTGGCCTCTGGCTGTCTGATGATGATCAAAAGGGAGAAGGAGAAGGTGTACGTTAAGTATGATGTATGCGCGCGTACTGGACAATAGGGAAGGTAATAAGTTAATTTTATTTTTGTTCTTCTTACTTTTTTGCAGAATTCGTTTTCAATTCTCTTTCAGTAACTGTTATCCTCCTCTATCTCTCTACCGAACCGGTATAAATTCTTTTCCTCTTCTTCAAACCCTAACCCCTGCGACGGCTTCACCATCAACCTTCAACCCCATCCCAAACATAAATCCAACCCCCTCTGTTATCAACCTACCAAACAAGAACCCAGATACAAGAAGAACAACAACAACAAAAGAAGATGAGTCTCTTTACCCTTTCGCGATTCGCTTGTTCTCTAATTTTTGAACCTTTTAGTTGAAGCTAATTCGTCCGTCTTCTTTGATTGTAGATTCCGGTAAAGAGAGTTGGCGACGGAAGGCTGATGATGGCGGTGATGCAATTAGCGGCAAGCGATTAGGGTTTTGGATATCGAAACCCTAATCGCATCAATCTTTGTGAGACGACGTGTTCTTCGTTCTTCAACAACAAACACTAATGGCTCGGTCTTCTTCTGTTCTGTTTCCAGCAAAATCTCCTCAGTTCTTCCGTTTTAATTTTAGTTTCTGTCCCTGTATATCCTCTCCTCCTCTTATATTCTGTTTAGCTTTTTATAGAGTTAGGTTTAGATTTGAAATTGCTGTTTACAAACTCAGATTTGGCCTTAATTTTAGGGATTAGGGATTTAAAACAATCTTAGGGTTTCTGTAATTTTGTGTAATTGATTTAGGCTCTTACCGTAATTGATTTAATTATGTTAAAAGATTCTGGAAATTTGATTTGTACTGATTTTTGTTACTGATCCGATCTGTGTTTTTAGATTTGATGTAGTTTTCTTCTGGATTTGAACTGTCGTTTGAAGATTTTCTGGGTTTGGATTTATTTGATTTTATTTAGATTTAATCTCAATAGTATCCGTTTTTTGATACAGAACGTGCGTTAATTTGGTCATGATTGGCACAGTACTTGTTAACCAGCCTTTGGGCATGCGCTATTTATTTCATTCAGCCCAACAACATTATTTAAGAAAACTTTATCAACTATGATGAATAACAATAATATTTTTTGAAAAAGATTGGGCCAACATCTTTTATCAACCCAACTCGTCTTTATTATATTCTCAATACAACCAGACTCAAAACACCAAACTTTGATAAATAAAACAAAACCTTAAAACAAAATTTAAATAAAAATGTTATGTCTTCCCCTCTTTCTTTAAATATGTTGTTCATTTATTTATTTATAATAAACAACTTATTATTATTACATATATATTTTAATAATAAATTACTTCTTATTGTAGCAGTGAAAATCAGAGATCAAGCTATTAATTAACTTGACTCACAAAAGCAAGAGTCGCCACTGCGCTTTATTATTTCCAAGGGAAAAGGGAAAAGAGCGAAATAAAACCCTAAAATATGCAATGTAAAATAATACTTAAAAGTAATAAAAATATAATGCGTTTTTTGAAAGAGATCGAGAGTTCGGGGGTTGGTTATACAATGGGAAGGTATTAGCACCCAATGCATCTGCGGTACTCCGCAGGAACCTTTTGAAATATCTATTTTTGGTTAAAATTGTTTGTTTGATTAAAATGGTTCGTTTGGTCAAAATGGGTATGGGCGAGATGATGACCTAATAAAACTATAAAAAAAAACATGTTTTTGTGTTTTTTTTTATCATTTTCTGATTAATAAAAATAAACTAAATAATAAAACTCAAGTTATAAAAAGACTTTAAGGGTGCTAAATTGGAATAGAGTTAGAGTAAGTAAAAGGGTAGAAAAATATTAATAACAAATGGATCTTAAAGCCCAACCCACAAAGCAAACCTAATCTTAATTAACTAAAATAAATAAATAAATAAATAAAGAAATAAATGAAGAATAGATAAAAAAAAAGCAGGTTAACGTATAGTAGCATAGAAATAGGCTACTTGATAGCATATTTTTTCTCTAATTTCTTAAAACTTGAAGAAGAAAAAAACAGAACTTGAATCATATTTGACTTTTCAACCTAGTAAACAATCTATCAATGAATAACACTTGTCACTTTATTTTTAAAAATAATAAAACCAAAACATAAACCTAGCATTCCACTCCCAAAAATGAATCAATCGTGAAACATTCACAAACACATCCTTTCTCAAAACGCAGGAACAGTATACAAAAGTATTTTTTTTTACCAAAAATCAATCTCTTCCTCTTGTTCCTCCATGCCTTACGACTCTCACTCAATTCCAATCGAATCACAAAACAACATCTAATATCACTTCTTGTGGCAACATCGTTAAATATGAAAAAATAAATAAATAGTAGAGGATAGGGATTACCGCGACGAAAGCTTTGCATTGCTCGTCAATGTCGGTCAGAGGAATCTTATGGAATTCTACAGATTGAGTGATGAACGGAGAGGGGATGAGTTATGTTGATGGAGGGGTGGATTGCTGGTTGTTGGCGAGAGAAAAGGTCAGTCGCAGAGAAGTGCTGTTTGGGAATAGAACAGAGGCGGAGAAATGTTGTTATGGTTCGGTGAAGGTTTAGGGGATGACGGAAATTGAAGTTTGCAGAGAAGGAGGAACGTGAGTTGCGTGAAAGCGGTATCGGATGTTCTTGCATTGAGTTTGCAGCTTGGAGTTTATGGTTGTGACAGATCGGAGCATCATTTGAAACGGTAGTTGAAGGTTGCAAGTACAGTTGAAGTTACGAATCAGAGTGTGAATGTTACAACTTCCGATCGTAAAATCAAACATGAGAAGCTGGAAGGGATAATGTGTTCGAAGGTGATGGTGGTCTGTGAAGCACCGGTGTTGTGAGGGTGTTGTTGGCGATGACTTGAATCGAAGAAAGGTGACGAAAAGTCGTCACAGCGTTGTGGTTGAGGAAGTAGATTGAACAGATGTCCAAGACGGCGTTGCTTCTTTACAGATCGATGATAGAATCTTAAGCCACGACTGAGTTTGCGCGAAGAAGAAGCAGTGAGACGGTGACTTGAGCGAATGCAAAGGAGTCAACGGAGCTACGGTTGTGTTGCATCGAAGAAGAAGGAGTTGTGGTGGTGGTGGTGTTTTGGATGGTGGCATTGAGGTTAACATTGGCCTCTTCTTCACTCTGTCCACCGGACAAGAAACAACAGCTGGAACTGCGGCAGGGACGGTTCTCTGCAAAGCTCTAACAGTGTGCTCGGCGATAACCTCAGGGGGCAACCTTTGGTGCATCGGATCCTGGGGTCACCATGTTTGGCTTCAAGAGAGTTCCTTCAAGGATGACATGGTGGTCACTCAAGGCCTTGTAAGCTGCAGCAAGGACACGCTCCGTAATGGCAGCACATTTGAGAATATCATGTGAATCGTCAACAAGGATCTCGGGTTCAATAATGGGGACAAATCCGTTCTCTTGGCAGGTAACGGCATAACGGGCCAATCCGTACGTGTTCTCATGGATAGAGTGCTCTGATGGTTCGTTGGCACCGATTTTAAGGACAACACGCCATTTAGCAAAACGTGCACCAGCTTCGTAGTACTTAGCACAGCGTGCACCAAGACCTTCAAGACCCTGAGTGGTGGTTTCGGTTTGTGATGGAAGGCGGAAGGGGGTGTGATGGAGAGATGAAGGAGTTTGGTGGATAGAAACAGATGGTGAAGGGTATTTGTTAATGCTATTGTTTTTGGTGTGTGTTGTTATTTTTGTTTTTGTGTGTCAAGGAGGCTTATGCTGATGCTGGTTTTTGAGGAAAAGTGAGGATGAGGTATTATGCGTGAGGAGAGAGGAATAGAGGGATGAAAAACATATACTGTGTATTGCTTTTTTTTTTGGTTTTGTTTTTATGTATCGATCCTCAATTTCATCCAACAACCAATGAAAATCAAGCATAGTATATTTTAATATTTTTTTGTGACTAAAAAGCCCTTTAATGAAAAAAATAAAAATAAAACTTGAAAGTATAAAAAAACTCAATTTAAAATGATTTTTTTGAATATTTTATGAATAAAAAATAAAGACACAAGATGACCGAAAATGATAAAAACCGGACGAAAATTTATCCGAAAAAATAAAATGAACACATTAAAATAATCTACATGTCACAAAGATTAAAGAAAAAATATTCAAGAAGTCAAAAATCAAAAATAAAATAATAATAAAAATATCAGACTAAACAGACGTTTAAGGTTAAAACGAGACTTCGAACTGTACCGAAAAATAAAGCGAGCATACCGTCATAATCTACGCGAAACGCAAATTCATAAAATGATCGGTAAAAGGTGAAAACTTGAAATATTTTCTCGCTACTTTCCCGCATAGTGTCGAATCGCTTTTAACAGTCTGTCTATAAAACCAAAATATTTTTATTATCGACATATAAACAACTTGGAGCAATGCAACAAATGAGTAAATAGATAAAAATGCATGAAGCAAAATGCCGGGTATTTTACAACTGAAAGACGATGCAAACTTTGATTTAAACTGACTTTTTCTGGTCAACTTAAATACGACTAATGATGCAAAATATGATGAATGAAGATATTTACTAATGATTGTGACCAAATGACAAAATATGGTATGAATGTGCGACTGAAAAAATTAGGGGCGACATTTAGGGTGCAACAGTTGTGCCTTGATGAATCAGTCTTCGAGAATCCACAATCAACCGTACTTCTGGCTTGGGAGACTCAAAACCTTAATTGAGGCGCGACACCTGACGCTCTTGATTCAGACCTGTCTCTGCACATGAAACAATAGAAAACACGAACATACACCTTTGTATGCGATTAGAAATTAGTGATACATAGGCTAAAAATGTTCAAAACACTTGACAATCTTCACATAGTCAAAGCTCGAAGGTGAGAGGTTAAAACCGACCGTATTTAGTGACCTTGACTTATCTTAAAAAAATGCAAAAATAAAAATGGGATCTTAGGTCAAAAATTGGGGTACAACAGCTGCCCCTATTTAAGTTTCTTCTATCTGGAGATATGAAGATTGGGATCTTCATTTCGACGAGATTGAAGGGACTTAAATATAGAATACACAATTTTTGGCCTTAAGATACCGCGATTATGTTCATGATATGATATGAATGTAATGCTCTGAATTTTATGGGGAATGACGCCATATGAGACGAACTATGCTGGAGAAACCAAACATATTATAGCAATCCTACACGGGAACAGATTATAACACCACTGGGGAAACAAAGTCATAGACTTCAAATGAGAGACTCTTGAATGATTTACATCAGTATTGAGACTGGAAAAGGTAATGATTTACATCAGTACTGTAACTGGAAAAGCATATGATTGACATCAGTATTGTGACTGGAAAACAAAATGATTGACATCAGTACTGTGACTGGGAAAGGAAATGATGGACATCAGTACTGAGACTGGAAAAGGTAATGATTTACATCAGTACTGTAACTGGAAAAGCATATGATTGACATCAGTACTGTGACTGGAAAACAAAATGATTGACATCAGCACTGTGGCTGGAAAATAAAATGATCGACATCAGCACTGTGGCTGGAAAACAAAATGATCGACATCAGCACTGTGGCTGGAGATAAACATCTCTGATTTCTGAATTTTACCAAGAACGGTAACACATTTATTCTTTAACCAAGATATCGCTTGAAAAGGATAAAATAACAAACTTCTCCACGGGACTTTTCCGAAAGGGATGTCATTTGCTGAGTAGACATTATTGTTGGGGATACACAAGCTGCTCGAATAAAGAGGCCGCCACTTGCTTCCGTACAAGTTGCTTATGAAGAGACCGCCACTTGTTGTTTCTTTTCAAAATTACCAATAATACACAAGTTGTTCATGAAGAGGCCGCCGCTTGCTGTTTATAAAGAATATCAAAGCACACAAGCTACTCATGAAGAGTCCGCCACTTGTTGCCAATAACCCACAAGCTGCTCATGAAGAGCTGCCACTTGCCATCTTCAAAGAATATTAAAGCACACAAGCTACTCATGAAGAGTCCGCCACTTGTTGCCAATAACTCACAAGCTTCTCATGAAGAGCTGCCACTTGCCATCTTCAAAGAATATTAAAGCACACAAGCTACTCATGAAGAGTCCGCCACTTGTTGCTTATAACCCACAAGCTGCTCATGAAGAGCTGCCACTTGCCATCTTCAAAGAATATTAAAGCACACAAGCTACTCATGAAGAGTCCGCCACTTGTTGCTTATAACCCACAAGCTGCTCATGAAGAGCTGCCACTTGCCATCTTCAAAGAATATTAAAGCACACAAGCTACTCATGAAGAGTCCGCCACTTGTTGCTTATAACCCACAAGCTGCTCATGAAGAGCTGCCACTCGATGTTTTTCAAGAGAAAAATAACACACAAGTTGCTCATAAAGAGACTGCCGCTTGCCGTTTGTCAAGAGTATCCATAACACACAAGTTGCTCATGAAGAGACTGCCGCTTGCTGTTTCCCAAAAAGATACCCATAAAATATCGTGAAGATATTGCTGGAGGTGAGAACCAATAATTTCATCGGGGATGGACAAACTGCTCATGAAGAGACCGCCATTTGTCGTAGAGAAATCAGAAATAATCAAACTGCTCAAATAAAGAGTCAGTCGCTTGTTGTCATGTCGATATTCCAGAAGAAGGTTGTGATAACACTGCTGGGGAATAAAGTTCATCTTCAATGGGGAACCATGAATAAATCCTTCTTGAGGAGACCAAGTATTTACGTTGCAAAATAAATGCACTCTCCATCTAGGTTTCACAGCCTAGAGATATCCACAGGGTATCGTTCACAAGAGACAAAGCTCAATCCAGGAATAAACTGGAGAGAAAATAGTCAAACAAGACTCCACCCAATGAGGAAACAACTCAAATGGGGATTTATCCTATCCAGAGATGGAAAAGGAAAGCTAAAGCAAGATTCTTCCACGAGAGTTAACTCAGTGGGGGAATTAGAAAAGAGGCGCACTTTCTGCTTAAGTTGACACTCTATTTGGGAAGATCGAATACGCTATTTGAATAGACATAACCAAGGTATACGAACTCAATGACATCAACAAATACAACTGTGCGTGCATGATGCAAGTGTGAACGAATAAATGAGTGCCATGTATGTGCCGACAAAACAAATAGACAAGATAAACTGGAGATGATAAGACATCATGGCACAACCCAACACTCAGCTAATCTCAACAAGATGGGAACATTACTGGAGATAGAACACAGGCCATCATTGGAGCAAGGTCCTTTTACAAGGCTTAAATCTCTTTGGAGAGGGAGATATTTTCAGGTAGAAAAACCCAAAGTCCAGTCTTCTATTGCAAACAATTCATTGAAAGGATAACAACACAAACAAAGTTTCAGCTGGAAAAAGTCATGCTTAGTTGGAGATACTGGGAACACCACCCTCTGATAATGCGTGCAAAACATATCACATATCTTTGACAAATCTGGATTGCCCCTGTGACTAATTTTGGATGCCCCAAGTTTACTGCTGATAAGCTGCATGTTGCACGACAATTCTTGCGAATAACTTCGCTTCTAAAATGCCCCAAGCTATATGGTTGATGAGGAGAAATCGTCTCAAGAGGATTTTACAAAAGACCTGGCATTCACCGTGCTCTGGCGTCTTCAAACTCTTAGAGAGATTCATCGAATCTCGACGTGATTGCCCCGGATTGACTGTAGTTGTCACAACAAAGTCTTCAAATTTTGCCCCAAAAGGGTAAACAAGTTGGAAAAGCATTAACTGGGAGAAGCAACATGTCCGTGCTTATGGTCTTCAGGTGACATGCCCCTGGATATGATTTTTGAAATGATTCTCCAATTGCTCAACATAGTTTCAAGCCTTAAAAGAATAAACTCATCACTGCTGCTTATATGTGAGCTTCCTTGATATCAAACAAATATTTTGCAGTTAGAAAAGTTTATTATGAGAATGAAAATTCTAATGCAACAGTTATGTAAGTCTTGAAGATTTTGAAAAGATATCGCACAAATTTTGCGAGTTAGAGCACCATTTATTTTTGTATAGGAAAAACATATGATACCAACATAACTATTTAACAAACGTTTATGGGAGTCAGGAACACTATCTCATGGAAGTATGCTTTCAAAATAACCTTGCTTCAATTAGGACTTTTGAAGGTTGTAACGTGGCCTGGTTCATGGTTTTTAGAAAAAAGATTTTTAAGGCTCAAAATATTTGGTGCCCACCCATTCTTCATGATGTTCTCCAATCCTATGTTCAGTTAATTCAACATGAGCGTTCATCTCTCAAAAGGATTTTGTGACTGTTAAGGAAACGACGAGGTTTTCGGAGTAGAAACCACCCTCATGTCTTCGTGTTTGTAGTCACCAATTTGTTCTTTGCTGAGGACTTTTCTTTGTAGTCCTTTCTTTGCAATTTTTATTTTCCCTAACTTTTGCCTGAACTAATTCTTTTTAATTGATAGTCCAGCGGGATGCCTTAATTTTGCCTAAGTCACACGTTTTCATGTTTTTTGACTTAACATGCTTTTTCTTTTTTCTCGATTTTTGACTTTTTGAACAAAAAGTGTGACATTAGCTTGTATTTGCTTGTTGAGAAGATTGTGATTGCCTCGTTTCTTGATGAATGAGGGATAACATTGTGATTCCACATCTTCTGGCTTCATTATATATGAAAGATAGCCCTCGTAGTTTCTCTTCAAAAAACATCTTCCTTATGAATTTTGAACACTCAGTCAGATTAACTAAAAACTACCCTGCCCCAGGTTAAAAGTTGAGGGTTTTTTCGTATAGAAAAGAAACTTCTACTTCAAGGCTCAAAAGGGGTTAGCAAGGGATTATCTTCCTTATATCTCCGGTGTTTAGGGATTTGAAACAATGCATGTACATCATCAGCAAGATTTTATCCAAAAGCAAACAACCAGAGATTTTGTGTTCTTTAGATCATCATCCTCCCCTCAATCTCTGCCTAGGCAAGAGAATGGGCAACAATTTGGTATCATAGTGCAAAAACAATTTAAAATTTGAAAACAAATATGAGTGAAACGAATGAATTTCTTCAAGACAAACATATTCATTGTATTAAGATAATCATTCAGATGCAAACAAGTTCTTACATGCAAACAATGTTTTGATAAACAAGAAAAATTACAAAAAGCATGAATAAGTTAATAATCTAGGAAGGCTTTCCATCTGGACTTGAATTACCGAAAACATCCTTTAAAAATCAAAGTGACCATCAATCGTGTTT